CGGGCGGGCCGTGGGTGTCCCCCCGCAGCCGCGGGTGGGGTGAAACGCGTGGGGGGCTGTGACACCCCCCCACCCACCCCCGAGAGGCCGAGCGGGCGGGCGGCTCCTCGGGCTCCGCGGAGCTCTTAATTTCATGCAGGAATGTCCCGTTTCTCCCAATGTTTAACCTCAGCCGGGGGAGCTGAACCCTTCGGCTCCGGCAGCCTCGGTGCCCGGGCTCCTCCCACGCGTGGGGCACGGCAAGGATGCTTCGCTCAGGGATGCGGGGACCCAAATCCACCTGCACAAAGGGTTCCAGGGCGGGGAAGGAAGGTGAGGGAGGCTTCAACCCTTCCCCATCTCAACCGCCTCCTCTGTCCCTGCCCGAGGAAAATGCTTTTGAAAATGAAGTTTCTTTCGCTAAAAGTGGTTGTGGGTCTCAGGAGAAGAGATGGGCAAAAGCTTTCGGTTCTCCACAAGACTCCTACACTCCATGATGTGAGACAGTGACACAGAGCCACATCCTGCCCCCAGGCACCCTCCGGAACCCAGCGAGACTTGACCCCATCTGAACAGCGTCCCTGAAGCCATCATGGTTCCCCCCCAACCCCACCGGGAAGGACAGGCAGGAGTCGAGCAAGTGTAAACAGCCGGATAATGCTTCCTCTTGGCCGGCCGCTCGCAATCCTGCCAGCAATATTTAGCAAACACCAACGTCTTCGTTCCCCACCCTGCTGACGGCACCCTTGGCCATAAACACCCCGAGCGCGCGGGGCGCTGGCTGTCCCTCTGCCCTCGCTGCTGCGGGGACGTGAAGGTGAGCAAAGGACGGGGTGGCACAGGAGGATGAAGCCCTCCCCCAGGTAGAGGCCACAGTTCTGGGCTCCCCGGTTCAAGGAGGCCAGGGAACTGCTGGAGAGGGGCCAGCAAAGGGCTACGAAGAGGATGAGGGGATTGGAGCATCTTTCTGATGAGGAAAGGCTGAGGGCATTGGGGCTTTTCAGTCTGGAGAAGAGAAGACTGAGGGGGCATCTTATCAATACTTATAAATACTTAAAGGGAGGTGCCAGGGGGATGGGAACAGTCTTTTTTCAGTGGTGCCCAGTGACAGGACAAGAGGTAATGGGCACAAACTTGACCATAGGAAGTTCCATCTCAACCTGAAGAGGAACTTCTCTGCTGTGAGGGTGGCAGAGCACTGGCACAGGCTGCCCAGAGAGGTGGGGGAGTCTCCCACTCTGGAGCCATTCCAAACCCGCCTGGACGCCGTCCTGCGCAACTGCTGGAGGGGACCCTGCTCTGGCAGAGGGTTGGACTGGATGATCTCCAGAGGTCCCTTCTGACCCTGACCGTTCTGTGATTTTTTGCAACAGCAAAGCATTTCCTGGGCAGCAGGGGAGCACAGGGAGCATCATTTCCAGGGCTCCCATGCTCCATCCCTCTCGGGTGCCAGAGGACAGCTTTCCCCCATTTTTGGGCTATAAATTTGCTGAGGAGCTGCTGTGGCAGCAAACACGTGCTCCCAAATCTCCTGGGGCCATACCGGGCACAGGCAGCATCTAGCCCCGCTTTCCCAAAACAGGGTGAGGGACTCTCAGCATCCCCACGCTGTTGGATCCGCTGATGCTTTGATCCGAACCCAGATCCGAACCCAGGGGCAACCGTTGCGTTGCCCCTGTCATGGTGACAAACCAGGCTTAGCTCCATCAGTGCGACATGAAACAAACGCTTATTATTCAGAGGGAATTTGGGGACAGCAGGTGCCGGCAAACAAAGCCACCCGCAGCGCCGCGGCTGATGACACCCACCCAGAAGAGAAAGAAAATGCCGCCCGAAGTTGTCACCTCGAGCAGCCCTTGGGGAAGCCACAGCCGTCACCGGGGTTTCGGCTCAGCCGAGTCCTCCTCCTGCTGTCCCCAGGGGCGCTGGACACTGGTCCTCATGCAGGAGATGGGGGACAGCACAGTCTGTCCCCCTCATCACCCTTCTCCCGCCCAGAAGACATGAAGGCTGCCGGAGCCTCAGGATCTAATTTTAATTCTGGGGGGGGTGAGCTTTGATAAGTGAGGAAAAAGGCTTTGTGGACATCTCTGCCTCGTAAAACCTACCTGAGGGGAACACATCTTTACCTCCCTAAACGCCGATCCTGTTTCAAGCAGCAAAGATAATCTTCTTTTCCCTTCCCAAGCACATTATTTAGCCGGGATCCTGCCCAGCCCGGCGCTCGCACTTCTCTGAGCCCACCCAAAGGGCTCCGGCAGGAGGGGGTCTTGTCCCCCTCTGCTGCGGAAATTTGGGAGGTGGCGGTGCTCCCCTCAGGTTTTGCGGGATGGGTGGGCGCGAGGGGCTCAGCGTGGCAGGGGGGACGGGCAGGAGCCGGGGGGCTCTTCCACACTGTGGGCACTGCGCTTTCAGCGGGGGCAGCACTATCCCCCTCTCTTCCAGGCTGCGATGTCTGCGTCCCCTCCACGAGACGGGTCCATGCCAAGTTGGCCGTTCTCTCCGGGAGATCAATTTTCAGGCTCAAAAAGGCAGTCGCTATCCTCCAGGAGAGCATCTGGCCCCTCTTGGAGCCCATAATAGAGGTCGTCCTCCTCCCTGGTGCCTTTGCGGGGGGAACCGGGGTGCTGTCCCCCCGCTGGCGAGCTGGTCAGGGTACAGCCAGAGCAGGCGGCGGATGGCGGTGGTCGGCCCCGTGGTGCGGGGCTGCTGGGCACGGAGCCCTCCAGCGATGGCGTGTCCATGTCCTCCAGGAGGGACGCCAGCGGCGCGTCCCCCGGGGACGGCCGGGGGGGGCTGCGGGAACAGGGAGGGCTGAGGGGTGACAGGCAGCGCCCAGGTTACGCTAAACACAGCTGGGCTGGAGCTGGGGTTTCCCCCAGAGCCGGTGGCTGCTGGGCTCAGCGTTGCTCAGCCAGCATCCCAGTATCACCAGTCCCCTTGCTGGCTGGCTGGGACACCCCGGGAGGGCCCTATCTCAGCCCCTGGTGCATGCCTTTATGGGGACAACCCTCCTGCCAAGATGCTTCTCCTGCCCGTGGGATGATGTGGCGGCTGCCCCCCCATGCTGTGCCTGCATCCCAGGGAGAAAGCCGAGCGCCCCGTCGCAGCTGCAGCTGCGTTGTGCAGAGGGGGTTCCCGAGTCCCACCACCCTGAGGCTGTGTGCTGACCCCCCGTCACCTACAAAGCGCTTTTGGGACCCGCTGGACCGATGCCTGGGCATCATACATGGCATCTGCTTTGAGGGACGTGTGCTGAGCATCTCATTTCTATCAAAGTCTGACCAGGAACTTGGGATTTATTCTGGTGAGGGGCATTGTTCATATTTATGTAATGAAATAAAAGCAAAATGCAAATCAGAACCAAAAGCGATCCTGATTTCTTCCTGATTTCACCTTGCTAAATCGTTCAGTACTGCGAGACCCCATGGGCTGAGACACCGTTCAGGCTCCAGCATGGCCGGGGTGTCAAGGAGTTGGCGCTGTGCAAGCAGCAAAGACCCCTCTGCCTCCTCTCCCTCCCCCCGTGCCGAGGGTCTGACCCCCTCCCAGTTTCCCCCCGCATCCCGCCAGTGCCACTCCGACCCCGCGGGCATCACGTACCAGCCGCCTGCCACCGTTTCCAGCCGAGGCGCCGGCTCTTGAGGGGGGTCTCCAGCACCCCCCAGCTCCTGGTGGACCTCTGCTTTCGCCTGCACGGCCAACTGGGAGCAGCTGCGGGGTCTGGGCTGGGCCGTGGGTGGGAGAGGGTCCAAGCCCACCGCCTGCCTCTGGATCTGCTCGTAGGACGGCAGGCTTTTCTCATAGGTGCTGGTGGCCTCTTGGTTGGGACAGGGTACAATCAAGCTGTGGGTGAAGGAGGAACGGGGTGCTGAGCAGGACCTGGACCCCCTGTGGAGCCAGGAGATGCTCGGGGACGTGCACCAAGACTCCATCGGGTACTTTAGAGGCCACTGAGGCCACACCACTGCCCGCACCAGCAGGTCCTTGCAGAGGGATGCCCGCAGGAACGCAGCTGGATGCTTTGCACCCTCTGGCATCACCCCAGCTCCAGCCCCCGGGGGGGGCTCAGCCCCTTGCCCCCCCACACCCACCCCACTCCCTGCTTCTCATTTTTTCCTGCAATAGGTGTATTTGGCCCCAGTGCCAGCGTGCTCAGACACTGCCCTTGTCCCCGGGGCCACGCAGATAACCGTGTGTACAGATGAAAACACCCACCAAAAAGAAAACGGCCGCTGGGACCTACCGGGTGTCCCTCTCCGGCAGCACGATGGGTTTGTGGTCCAGGAACCGCTCGGCCTCGAGGTCTACAGGGATGAACGTTATCTGGGGGGAAAAGAAACGCTGAGCCCGGGGAGCTGCGCTGGGCACCACGGGGACCCTCAGCCCTCGTTAGTGTCAGAGTGTCCCTTCAGTTGGGTTTTTGGTCTTTTCCCAACACATTTGGATGTCTTGCTTGGAAATAGGGTTTTGGGGGGAAAATCAATACAGGTTTGAATGAACCCAGCATGGTCCCACTCTCAGCACCTCGTCCCCAGTGGGGTCATGCATGTCCCCAAGCCCAGGGGCGTCCCGGGACTCGTGGAGGAGGTCGGTGGCCAGCGACAACACCAGGGGTGCCCCATCCTTGAACCCGGAGCAAGGTGACAAAGCCACATCTCCCTCCTCACCAGGGCTGAGCTCGGTTTTGGGGGGGACCTGGGATCAGCTTCACCCCGGTCCCGAGGGATTCAGCCAGTCCCGGTGGTCCCAGCTGGTCCCAGGGGTCCCATCCACCTCAACACATTTTGGGGTGCGGCCGAGCTGTCGATGGGCCACCCTGCACCACGGAGGTCGGCCCCACAGCTGCCGTCTCCTCAGAAAAAAAAAAATAAATAAATCCTTTTCTGGCAGCTCAGTTTCCCGGGGCAGGGACGCGTGGCCGCGCTGCCACGCCGGCGGTGCCCTCTGCCAAGGAGACCGGAGGGTGAGGGCTGTGCTTGGAGACCCTCCAGACCTCCATGGCCACAACAACTCCTTCTTTGAAGTCCTGCTGAGCCCCCAACCCCATGGGTGCAGGGAAGGGGCTGGTTTTGAGGGGGGCGGTGCATGGGAGAGATGAACTTAAGCTGATTTCCTCGGGTTTATTCCCCGCTGCGTGCTTGGCAGCGAAACCACGGATTTGGGGAGGTGCGGGGGGACAAGGGACTGGGGCCAGATCCTGCAGGCATCAGTGGGGAGGCGCAGTAGAGCACAAGCCCCCCCCCCAAAACAACACTTTCCCCTCTGGTTCTCCCCAATCGGCTTTCCCCCGGGATCTGCCGCTACCCCCACCCCACGCACGGGGAAACTGAGGCACAGCCCAAGGCTACACGTCCACAGCAGCCGAAGCCCCCAC